CATATCGGTGACCCCATATCAAGTTCCGGAAGGCCGATCCGGGGTCAGTGAGGTTAATACATGGTTGATCAGTGACGGAGCGTTGGAAGCGTGGGGTCAAGCACCAGTGTGGGGTCAAACGTAGAACGTGATAGAGACATCGAACGAAAGCGAGGTAGGTACCAAGTGGGTAAGGTCGGTATTCATACCGGGTAGCCAACAGAATAATTAGCGTCCATCGATAACAAATTTCAGTCCAGGCCAACAACTCGTGGCCAATATCTAAAAGGGAAAGCAGGGTGTAGATCGGAACTTACCAACGTCTGCCGCCTGGATCATGCTCACATCATTTCCACCGTCTCCAATACAACATACGCGCTTGCGAGTATACCTTCGGATAAGACGCGCTACGTCAGCCTTTTGAGTGGGGGAGCAGCGACAGGCAACCACGGCCGTGAGCTTGGTTGCGATTTCGATAAACTCGTTCTCAAAATGGCTCAAGCAAAGCTAAAGTGGAGAATTAGTCTTCTCCAGATCCAGATCGGGTGGAAGACACACCTGAAGAGATTCGCCGTCAATGACCAGACAGCAATCTAACTTTGACTGCAAAAAGTCTAGTTGATCTCTTGCTTGGTCTGGGCTCTTTACTGTAGAAACAAGGGTTAACTTCGTTGCATTCTGAGACTAGGTAGACTTACGCTTCGCTATCTGATGAATATACTGGTTCCGCGCCACCAACTTTGTGGAGATGGCAATGCATGTGGCGGTCTCGACTTTGTCACCCGTAAGCATCCAAATCCGAATGCCAGCGTTCCGCAAGAGTTCAATTGTGGACCTTACTTCCTCCTGGAGCTTATCTTCTACACCGGTTAGACCCAATAGCTCCAAGCCACGTTCCAAATGCTCTCCAACAACGGCAGCCATTGCCTCTGCTCGGCCTTCTAGACGAACACTGGCGGCTTTATGTGCAGCTTCAAATGCGGCCCATTCCTCAGGGGCGAGTCTTCTTCGGCCACAGACAAGAGTACGGAGGCCTTCTCGAGCCATATTAGCGGTTTCCTCCTCAAGCCAGTCCGAACGCTGCACGAGCCGTGCCATAACAGTATCCGCGCCTTTCTGAACGAACATAATTTCCTGGGTGTCCATGCTTTGAACGACGATACCCATACGTTTGGACTCGGATGTGAACGGAAAGAGGGCGAGGACACTGTAAACAAGGGTTGTTCCATCGGGTGTTTGGAGCTCGATCTGGGTCCGAGTTCGAGAGGTGAGCGTGAGCCCAACTGACTCTGTCCACTTGACAATGGCAACTTCATCGGGTGAAGAAGCTTGATAGGTTACCGTGCCGTCGTCGTTGGTAACAGGAGTGACCTGGACCAAGATATTAGCATAAAAATCGCTTCGAGTGTGGGTACGTACATTATGACATAGTGCCAACGCGAGGACTACGTCGCGCACGCGAGAAGATATATCCCGTCGCCCGCGGGATGCAAGTTGTACACCGGTTACTAGAGAACCTTGGCGCTTCGACGTGCGCCCCGTAGATTGCTCGGTACCAAAAGCCACGACCAATTGGTGCGAGACCTCGTCCATGGCATCCGCACCGTATGAGATAGTGCCCATGTGAAGTTTCCTCATCTCCATTTCTAACAGTTGTCAGTGAATGAACGAGTCGGAAGGCTGTAGCTTACCATTTTGCGTGAGAGTTCCCGTCTTGTCACTCAAGAGATACTCGATACGACCGAGCTCTTCTGGAAGTGTGCTAGTTCGAACTATCGTCCCAGGTATTTCAGAATCGGATTCGATTTGGTGCGCGTAGACGGTCTTTCCCATGTCTAAATTAACTCGTAGGCTTTGTAACATTAGGCCATGTGATAAACGAGGCATGAAACCCTACCTAATCGGTATAATGCTAGAGAAAAGGATTAAGAATCGGAATACATAAATATACCATTGTCCCCGGAAGCCATTGAGAGCGACCAGAAGGACGGAAAGAGCAAAGGTGACAGCGCAGAGGATCTGAGGCGAGATTAGTTGGGGGAAACATAATGAGGCTATTGACTTGCCTTGGCCACCCGATTTATTTCCAGATCCAACAACCCGACCTTGGTCTCGGGGTGGGATGTGTTCATGACAGCGCGAGTCTCTTTCCCTGTGTATACAACCATTCCAATCGCAGTTCCCGCGGCAAGTACCGTATTTGACCAAAGCATGTTCTCTGCAGTAAGAGGAGTAACCTGAGGAGCTTGTTGCTCGGGATCGTCTTCAGAAGACGTTGACTGGAGTGTAAAGGTTCCAATAAACGTATGAATATCCTTGATTGGAGCGTCGGCTATGGGAAGAAGAGTTATGACAGATCGAAACACATTAGCAGCCACATACCATACACTTCTGCAGATACGCCCAGCAACGACCAGTCATCCGACAGGGATTGGCAAGCAGGAACAGCGACTCTTAGTTTCCAGTCGGTTTCACCATCTAGTTGATCCGTTCGAACGAAACAGGTGCCAGAAGGGTCAGAAGTACGCAAGAGCAGCATGTCTGCAGGAACTCGCTGGTTCTGAGTGAGCTGAACAAGATCGCCGACCTGAAGCTGAGAGGATGGAGTAGCTCGGGTGGGAGGGAATCCGGTGGCCGAACCGGGGGCCAGGGGAGTCGAGTCGGGTTCAAGGATCAGATAACGTTGAGCATTAGCTTCCCTATCTCTTCGATTGCGAAGGATGTCATCCCAGGCCTCTTTTCCCATGGTCACGGAGAGAACAAAGGCAAGAGGCGCAATATATGTCGCGATGAATCCAATCTTGAGAGCGGGAACAAACTGAGACAGTGCGACGAGGAGGAAATAGAGATTAAAGAAAAACTTGAACTGGGCGTAGATAACGAGAGGGAGAAAAGTTATGACAGTGTATTTCTGGTTGCGCACTACGTTTGGAGGGAATTTAGACCGGAGTGATTCTGTAACAACGTCAGTCTACACAACAACAACAGATCAGTTTACCTACGTAAAGGTCGGAACGGAATGGTTCGGCTCTTGTCTTTGGACATTGTGCTCATCGGTTGCTGTATCTAATAAACATTTAGTGGATGAGGCAATAATTGTACACGTACCCACCTGTGCACCAGATCCACTTGGCAAGTCATTCTCCTCGGCTAGTAGAGCGACTTCATCCTCGGGAACATTTGGCTCGCGGTTCTTTCCTTTGCGTGACATCGCGTTTCGAGCGGAGCGGCCGTGGGGGAACAAGTTAAGAGCAATCTCTCGCTCCCCGGAGGTCATTACTGATCTAAGGAGGTGGCTACCCACGTGACTTGACGTGCACGATCCACGTGGGGTACCAGGCCTTAAGTGGCGACTCGCGAAACTGGCGTATTAAATCTCAACCAGGCCAGACCTGGTGCCGATGATGAGCGGGATGGTGGTAATAATCAATAAGCGCTGACCAGCACAAATGACCACACGTAGCACAGCCACAGTCCCTCCATAGTCGTGGTCCTTTTTAGTGAGAATAGGAGGGCGCAGGACCCAAAAAGTGCTGCAAACATTGCGGGAGAATATGGTTGAATGGCTGGATGGACGTCAAGACGAGTCGATAAGCTACATATCTGTGAGGGAGGGCCGGGAGGCAAGACACGCGCATAGCGTTAATGCAGCCCCTGCCTGTTCTGCTCCGCGCTCTATGACTGAACTCGTTTAAATAGGTACGGTTTACACGTATTCATCGGGCACTGGTTTAGAAAAGTCTTCAATATAACTGGGCTGGAACTCCGGCCAGTCACTGTATTACACGGAAAGGCAACGAGACTAGACCAAAATCCCAGAACGTGGAATAACAAGCATTACTTCTCAAACCGGTGTATCTGCTTGCTAAGAAATTGGCGGGCCCGATCGTTTCTGATGAGCGATCACTGAAGACCAATAGTGAACCTAGTGATTGGACTTGCCCAGGTGTTTGGAGATGTAACGGGGCACGTAAGTAGCAAACCATTTCCGAAAATTCAAGGGTAGGAGGGGCTTTAATCGGTGTATCACCTGCTTATTGTCGGCATGAGGATCTAGTGGTTCAAATTGGAAGTAATCCACGTAATCCAAAATCGAGCATGCATTCCACACCCCCTTTGCCGCACCAAATAGCCAATGTTATCCACGTGCCATATGTTATGCTACTTGACGCCAAATAAGTGTTAAACCCCACAACAGAGGAACAAACTAGGATGTATGCGCGTGGATCATGACTTCCAAGGGTTGTAACGTCCTGCTGCAGACATGCCCATTGATCTATTTCACCATGGCCCTCCGATAGAACATGGAAAAGCCGGTCTCCGTATTGGGGAAATCGTTCAAGAAAGAGTTGTATGGACGCACAAAAGTCCTTTGCTGCCTCTTGCGAGCTGTCGATGATATGAGGAGAAGTAGGGTAGGAATAACCAGTACCCGCTGGTTGGTTGAGCTGGATAATCTCCCTTAAGGAGCCCTTTGAAATGGGAATCAAAAGCCTTGTGGGTTATCCAGAGTGGACGTAAAATGGGCGAACGCCCGGAGGTATCCGTGGCACAGCCTGAAATCTGACCGTATATAGCGTGAAGTTTCCTAACGTGAGAGGTTATTACATAACAGTTATAAACTATGGCTGATTTTAACCATTTTGATGGTCCACTGTTGATTCTGGACCAACCGGCAAAATTTCAAGGTAACATCATGCATGCGATAGTTGAAAAGTAGTTGAAAAGACAAGCCCGGATGGTCTTGTGGTATGATTAGCCCTTAGGGAGCTTACTGGTTCCTTCGTAACCGAGGTTATTCGTTGTGCCCGCCTGCAGTGAAATGACCACCGCCTGATTGTTAATGAAGAATACCACGCCCGCCGCTGCCTGTCCCCGTGCCAATAATTCCAACCCTAGGAGCAGCCCAATGATCACCGCTTCGTACACCTCGTACTCCCCTTACGCCCCCATGTGCTTCACCCTGGGCGAAACAAAATCGGCGCTCACTGGGAATACCAGCTTACAGGGCAAAAAACATTGGCCCGAACCAGGGATCGAACCTGGGACCTCGCCCAAATAAGGCTTAACCCTAAGGGCGAATCATACCACTAGACCATCCGGGCTTGTCAGGCCACCGTCTCACTCCATTATTACCTCTGTATTCGTTTGTAGCTTATCCGACCTTTTCAGTGGTCGTTTTGAGTTTATCTCGTCGGGGTAGCAAGCCAGTCACACGCCTAGTCCGTTCACAGAGCCTTCGGCATTACAAAGCAGGTGCTCTTGGACACGGTCCGAATTTCTATCCAACCATCCTT